TACCTACCATCAGGTGCTGGGAGCTTGCAGGTCATGCCCACAAGCACATCACAGGGCTCACACACTATCTGCTATAAGTAGACTAGCGTACCCTTGAATATAAAGGGGTGTCCCCTCTTTAAGGCAAAGCATGTTCCTCTGTTCTCTTGCATGGGCTCAGTACACTAGCTGCCCTCCCCTCAGCGTGGGCCCTGTTGGACCTCTCTGAGGTTACTTTCATTGTCAGCAAGCCCTGCCCAGAGTTATCTTGATGGAATCTCTAAGCAGGTCATCTCCAGGTATGGCACACACCAGGGAACCCAAGGAGGAGCCACTCAGGGCACAGGAGTGAAAAAGAAAAGGAAAATACCAAGTGTTAACACTATGATTAGCAAGCTGACTTAGGAAATGGGAAGTTACACAGGGCTAAGATAGGTCTATCATCTGAGACTACAGACCTAACACTGTATGAATTACTGATGTCTGCTAAAATTGTCTTAACTAGAAACCTGTACATTTCAGTTTCTGTAAAACTTGCTTAGTTATGGGGAAAAAAATCTACTTTAGGGTAGGGTTAAAAAGATCACACTAAGATGGTCACAAGATTACGGCAACGCCTAACCCTATGAAATGTTTCTGACGCAGCCTGGCCTCTCAGAGCAATAGCAGAGGCTACAATAGCATGTTAACTAAATATTTTTTTTTCCTGAGAATTGCTCTCTGGGGGAGGTTGAAAGCCCCCACTCCTACTCCAACAGGAATACTTAATGTCTTTGATGTCTCTAGATATCCTGCTACTTCTCTTGAACATACAGACTTTCTTTATTGCCCTTGGGCAGTGACTGGGCCGAGCTTCTGCCTGGCCATGCCTCCAGCCCATCCCTCAGAGTTTCTGTCCAGGCAGCCTGGTTGCCTCCATGTTCAGTGCTGTAGTCCAGTTTCCCCAAGATCAAAACATTCCCTCCTTTAGGAAGGACGGAGGCTTATGACTCAGGAAGCAAATGAAAGAAGGCCAGGAAGCTCCTGAAACCCACAGAAATCACAGGACCCCTTCTCTCAAGTTACCAAAGACATGGAAATTACAGGCAGAGGAGATTCTCTGACCAGTTAAGTTGCCTTCAAGCCCTGCAGGAAAGCTGTTAACCTGCAAGCTGTTGCCCATGATTTAGTGGGCTTTTCAGGGATGCTACCACCTTTGAGTCACCCAGGCCCCTGGTGAGTAACTCCAATAACTCCTCTGGTTCACTAAGCTGGGCGTGGTTGGAGCTGATTCTGTGGTCTGTCACTGATGTCACATCTGAGGTGAATAAACATTTCTTCATGTCTCCCCAGGAAATCACATGATATACAGCCAAGAGGATTGTTGTTACAGATCTGCTGTGGTTACAGCCCCAGATCCCTCCATTGATGAAGATTGTATTTATTCAAAAGGTAGAGAGTTGGCAAGCTCTCTCCTTCCCACCCGTCTTATCTTGTCCCTTTCTTATATATCAGGCTTGCACAGAGCAATCTCAATTTCTTTCACATCTAAGCCAAATCCACCTGAAGACTGCTGAAGCCAAGCTCACATGCCCTGTGCACCTGCCGTCCAGGCTTCTGATGCCACATCACAACCAAGGCAATTAGTTCCCACTCCCACAGCCCTGTGCAGAGGTCTCACTTACGGAAGGCTGTGTAGAACTCTCCAAGGGTCAAGAAGCCATCGGTATTATAGTCATCAAAACGCAGGAGATCGCTTGGTGAGCATCCCTTCAGGGAACCATCCAGATCCTGCTCCTTTAGCACATACTGTGAGGTGAGAAGAGACAGAGCCAGAGTTATCAGTGAGCTCAGTATCACGGATGCTGCTGGAAAATGCCCAGGTCCGGTGGGGACTCAGGGAAGCCCAATAGGCCTTGGGATATGGGAACGGGTGAAGTCCCGAGTAAATGTGTGTTGTTGACATGGCCATGGCCACGGCCACATCAAGGACGCTGATGCCTCAGAACCATGGAACGTTACAGTCTTTTCTAGGTCAGGCTCAGGGACATAGCAGAGCCTGCCCTGGATCCATGTGCAGATGCTGACAGTGTGTACAGACAGCATGGACCACAGCTTCCTGTTCCTCCTGGATGATGGCAGACTGAACTGTTCCTCTACAGAAACCCCCATCCAGATTAGTGAAAGCCACTTCCTGGTTCAGCTGTGTGTAATGGACATCTCAATTCAGATGTATAAAACCAGCTGAGTTTCCTAGGCTGCTGGTGGTGCATCTCCACTCCCAATTCCAGTGTTCTGGGTGTCTGTATGACTGTCCTTTCTCCATTCCCCGATATCCCCCCAACTCCAAAGTCATGTAGGTTCCAGCACTGGGGACCATCCAGAGATCTCTGATCTTGTCCAATTTGAATCCTTCATTGTACAGATAAGGAAACTGAGGCCCGGAGAAGGAAGGTCTGTGGTCTCCATGACTGGCAGATAGAGCCAGGGGGATCTAAGCAAGGAAGAATGTTTGTGGCCACTTGTCTGTCCCTTGTGCTGTTAATGGGGGAAACAGACTAGAGAAGGGCTTGATCACAGGAAGTCAGTGAACAGCTGACCTCAGGGTGGGAGACCAGGCCACTATGGGTGATGGTTAATTTTCACTGTCAGCCTGACTGGGATTGGAATGATCTGGAAGACACCAGAGAGGTTTCGGTGAGGAGGGAAGACCCGCCCTAAACATGAAATGGGTACCCAGACTGAATAAGGGGTGGGGGAAGGAGTTGTAAAACCTGATGAACACTGGCACTCATCTTTCTGATTGATGATGCAGGGTGACAGCAGCCTCAGGCTCTTGTCACCGTATTTTCAGACCACGATAGACTGTATCCCCTCAAATTGTAAGCCAGAAGCCAACCCCTCCCCAAGCTACTTCTTGATAGGTATTATATCCCAGTGATGGGAAAAAGAACGTGCCGTATTTCATCATTGTATCCACCTCCCTCAACCACACACCAGCCCTCGCCGCATAGCACATGCCCAGAAAGCAGCTGGTGACCAGATCTGTTTCAGTTACACCAGGCAAAGGCGACTTTAAGGGAGATAGTGTTTTTATAGTTCTTGGGAACAGAATGCCATCAAGTCATGGAAGACATGGCAGTGGGAGGGATGGTATGGTGGCGAGCGGGATGCTGCCTGTCAGAGTACATCTCCACTCAGGAAACAGGGTGACTATGAGGTGGGGACCAGGCTATTAAGCCTCAAGACTGGCCCCCAGTGATGTATTTCCTCCAGCAAGGCTCTGTCTCCTAAAGGTTCCATAACCGTCCCAAACGCCATTACCAGCTAGAGACCGAGTGTTCAGACACATGAGCTTGTTAGAACATTTTATGTTTCCATATTCTTCTAGGGCCACAAATGTCACCCCTCAGTCAGGATCCTGATTTAGGATTGAAGTGGACTCTTGTGGATTCCTCTGTGGTTATGGTTTAACCCACGAGACACAGAAGCCCTGCCCCCATCACAGCCAGCCACACACTAAAGTTTGTGTGGGTAGAAATTCCACACACCCTCACTTGGCTGAACACTGAAAGCCACAGGCTGGGCAAGGGAGACTGTACAAAGGAAATCAAGAGAGAGGAAATGGTTTTATTTTGAGGAGGGTGGAGGTAGAGGCATTTTTTCTCTTTGTTTAACATTCCCAGCTTGGCCTGCTATATTAAAGGCAATTTAATGTGATAATGTTTAAAAAAATGACCCTTCACCCAGCAAGTGAGCGTGTTCGATAAAAAGGAGATCAACCATGACGCCTCAGATCAATCTTCCGAAGATGAAAATTTCCCTTTGTCTATTTCTACATTGGAAATTGATTAACTTTTCATAGGACCGAGGAGTTCTTCCCTCCGGCGCCTCTGACTCAGTGTCAAGGCAAGGCCCACATTAGCTGGGCTCTGCTTGGTGGATTTATGAGATGGACTTTAGATATATTAAAATTTAAAGAGAAAATCATAGTCCAATTACCATGCTTGTTAATGGCTTCAGATGCCTCTGGCCACATCTCTGCCAGGTTACAGCAATGAACCCAAGAAGGTCTGTTGGGAGCCACATGGGTCTGGGCACCAGGAGCTCTCAGCTGCCTAGGGCAGGCTGATGTCACATGCCCCATTCTTCCTGCCCAGCCTGTAGTATGAGGACTGACAGGTGGGGTGTGCTCCTACAGATAGCCATAACTGACAAGACCTCTGGGCTTTCCTGGAGTCATTCTTGTCATATGAGGGTTCCTGGCCCTGTTCCTGGGGGTCTCAGCTGGAGTTGGGGGCTGAATATTCCTGATAGAATAGTGATGTGCTTGCACGATACCACCACGGCCTTTGTGGGCTTCCTAGGATGCTTGGGTTTGTGTGGTGAGCTAGAATGGAGTCGCTGGTTACTTGGTTCCCTAGAGCCTCAGATTCCTCCTCTAAAAGTGTTTGTGAAGCGGGACAGTAGCCATTCTGGCCCTACAGGAGTGGATGCTGAAGGGTGAAGGGGGAACAAGGATGACGACAATGCTGGGAACATCCCATGTGCCAAGTACAATGCTAAACACGTCTCACATCTCACTGGCTTAGCACCATTAACTCTCGTGATGACCTCGCCAGGTTCACTGCTGAGGCATGGAGGCCTGGGAAGGAGGGGCCTCTGGAGACTCACTAGCTCATGAATGCTGGCAGCAGACCTTGACTGTAGGCTGCTTGGCTTTGAAGCTTGCATTCTTAGCTGCTGTCCCTCCATAGAGCAAGACAGCAGTGTTTATCCACCACGGGCAAAGGGCCTGCACAATGATCTGGCTACCAACTTGGTGGTGGTTGTTGAGCATGTGCGTGTCTGCATGTTTGCCTGTGAGCACTACAATGCACGTGCTCATGGGAAGCCTTCTTTGACTGCTCTCAATGCTACTGAGGCAGGTCCTCTCACTGAAGCCAGCGCTTACTCTGGGCTTCTGTCTTTGTTTCCTTCATACAGGGTTTACAGGGTGACGCCATACCTGCCTGGCCTTTACACGACTTCTGGGGATCTCAGCGCTGGTCAGATCCTCGCAGAACAGATGTCTTACCAACTGAGCCAACACCTCTGCCTCCAGGCTATCATTTTGCTGAGGTCCATCAGCAAAATGGACCTCAGCATCAAAAGTGAGAACTCAATCCTGTCACCTCTTCTCTGGGTGACCACTCTGTAGTTTCTGGAGCAGAGTGGTCTCCGTGGACCCCTCACTCGGGAAAACTGCACCCATTTCCTTGCTTATATTTACTTTGGCTGGACTAAGACAACACAGCCCTTCTGTCCCATGCCAGCCTTCCTGCTGCCAGAACTCTTCAGGCCTCTCACTGGCAGTGACAGTGGCCCCAGGGAGTGATTTGCTCTTTCTTGCTTCTTTTGTGATATAGGCACTAACCACCCAGGCACCCCCTTAAAGTTGCCTACAGTGATAGCTTCTAACCCACAGCCTTTGGAGCAGAGGCAAACCTTGGGGCAGGATCCATGGGCATTCTTAGGCTAGTGCCTGTGAGGGGTGGACACAGGACGTCCCATAAGCAAAACAGCTGCGGGGAGTGGGGTCATTGGTATTTGGACGCCAAAGTGCAGCGCTGTTACTGGGCAGAGGCCTCGGGGACCCCCAGGTTGAAGCATCAAAGATGCTCACCCTAACAAGTACTGCTTCCCTTTGACATTTCCCTGTAGAAAAGGACAGGCTCAAAGCATCAAGGACTGGCTTTCTGAGAAAAACACCAGCGGACAGCCCCTCTGAAGGAGGCTCTGCCTGCAAGCCGAGGAAGTGTCGAAACTGGTTGGTAAACCTAGGCTGAGGTGGCAGGTGGTGGGATTTTGTGTGTAAGACATTCTCAGAGGTGCTGACAACAAGCTGTGGATTCTAGGAAGGGTAGGAGGGGCCCCTGGCAATCCGTAACAGAGACAGTGACGAACCATTGTCTCCGCCAAGGAGTGTCTCCTCACCACATGCGCCATACAGGCTCTCTCCACAGTCCCTGCTGCATGCCAAACCCACCTGAGCCAGCTCCAAGCTGCTGAGGTGGCCACTGCCGTCTGTATCCAAGTCCTTAAATAGCGACTCCACCAAGAGGCGCTTCTGGGAGGCAAGGTTCTGCCTGTTGGTTCCTTGTTGGAGTGGCTGTCTGCGGCTCTGGAGTGCCAGGAGGACATTTTTGAGACGAGCATAGCCAGCCATGGTGCACATGTCTCCTGAAAGAGAAGGGGTTGTTACAACAAATGTACCCTGCAGTCTTGAGACAGTGCTCCGCCCATCAATACATTCATCCATCTCATTCCTCAGCAGCTGCTGGGCATTTCCAGTGTGCAGTGAACAGTGCCACTGTCACGGCGGGGGGGGGGGGGGGCTTGCCTGTCCATCTGCCCCCTTTAGCCACTGTCACGGAGGGGCCTTGCCTGTCCATCCGCCCCCTCCAGCTACTGTCACGGAAGGGCCTTGCCTGTCCATCCGCCCCCTCCAGCCACTGTCACGGAGGGGCCTTGCCTGTCCATCCGCCCCCTCCAGCCACTGTCACGGAGGGGGCTCATTTGTCCATCCTCCCCCTCCTCCAGCCACTGTCACATCACGGAGGGGGGGGCTTGCCTGTCCATCTGCCCACCCATCCAGCCTACTGATATCTAGTGAGTGCCTATATGAGTCAGGCAGAATGGGGAAATTCTTCCAGTGGAATCTGCAACTGTTGCCCCACAGTGCGAGGAAAACCAGCCCCCATTTCACTCTGTCACAGTTTGCCTTTTGTCTCAATCCTATCTTAAAGGCTGCTTTTGAATCCTTGGCCTCATAGATTAGGGCGTTTTAGTTGACAGGGCTAATAATCCCCGCTTAAGGTAATTAGGTACACTCCCAGAGCTGGGTTACTCGGAAACAAGCGTGTGTACACAAGTCCACGACCAAGAAACAAAAGGAAGCTTTAGGAGATTAAACCGGAGCGCCCAGCCCATTACTCTTAGGCCTTTTATCACGGGCGAGCTTGCTGAACACACAGCATTGCACGGGCGTGCTTTGGCAAATGAGGTCTGTGATGCGCTATGACATGACATAGTTTATCTTGCTGGTGACAGGGCCACCATACAGGGCACAGTCAGTAAATGGGGGCTGCAGGGATGCCACAGAGCAGTGATCCTCCAGCCCTGCTTCCTATTTCCCCTGGGGACAACAAACACTTCCTGAGCCTGGCCTTGTTGAGTCTGGGGGGTGCTGGTGTGGGCTCCCCACCCTCTATTCTAAGATCAGTGGGTGCTGGGTATGGACCATCTGGGGTTCGGGCCTCTTCCCATGAATTCTAACACCAGTTGAAGCTGCCAGGTTAACCTCTCAGGACCAGACAGTGAACAGGCTTGAGTTTGGGGACCACTGGGTTTGTGAGTCCCAGCTCTGCTGCTTCCAGGTTGTGTAACCTGGAGTAAAGGGCCTCAGTGATTTCATCTGAGAACTGGGATAGTAATGCACCCCACGTGGGGACATTATGAGGGTTAATTAACATAGTCACATGTAGCTTTACTTTGAGCCCTTGCTCAGTGATTGGCAGCTGCCCTCCCACTTTTAGTTGTGGTAACCATGATGGGGGGAGCACATGCGCACAGAAGCTCCTCAGTGGGAAAGGGGGGAGCAGCTGTTGCTCTCTCCTACCCTCCTTCTCTCATTGGAGAAGCCCTGGTGGCCGAAACACTTTTTCTTGCACTTGTTTGTGTTTCTAGATTTTCTTCCAATTTGGGGTTAATTGATTCTGGTCAGAAACAAATGCCTGTTACTATTTCCCTTGTGTGTTTATTTAGGAGAAAAAAAAATCAATTGCTGTGTTCAATATAATCAAATCTATTTGCTCCTGGGAGTCACCACGCTCACATGTTTTCTCTTGTGAGAGTCCCTGGCACCCATAGACATACCCCATTTTGAAACCTACATGGCTGTGGAGTATTGCACATGGCCTTCATGGCCTGGACTCATGACAAAGCCAATATGGCTGGATTTTACTTCTCAAAAAATTATTTTGGGTAAAGAGTAGGGTGGTCTCGCCTGAGTCTAGTCCATCAGGCCTTTCCAAAGACGGGGAGTGCTGGGCTGGCAAATGGAGCAGACATAAGGGGATGGAGACGTAGCTGCTTAGCTGTTGGGGTAAGAGCTGGCAGAAGGGTCCATGTAGAGGGTGTGCATACACTGGAGGGCTGTCAGGTTTCCCCGGGGACAGGCACCTGTACCACATGTTGGGAAAGCTGGTGTCTACAGTGACTGAAGTGGTGTCAATAGATTCCCTCGGACATGCTAGCCAGAGCCTGGCATCCCGAGAACCTGTGACAGCAGGGCCACCTGGAGGCTAGAGCAGGTAGGTAGGATGGGTAGTGAGGTCTTGGATTACTGGTCTCCCAACCTCCTCAGGGCTTCTTGGAGCTGCCTGCTGCCCTGGAACAAGGGTTTATTGCTAGACAACCTCCAGCATGGGCAGCTGGGGAGACCACAACGTGGAGCTGGGGGCTGTGGTAATATCTCAAGCTTTGCTTTCCTACCAAATCCTATAATTCTTCAGACGGGGAACACAACTTAATTTTTGGAGTGCTTGCCTCGCATGCAAGAAGCCTTGGGGTCAATTCTCAGCACTGCATAAAACCATGCCTGTTACCTTAGACTCCTGAGGTGGACGCAAGAGGATGAGAAGGCCATCCCCAGCTACATGGCAAGTTTGAGGCCAGCCTGGTTTATATGAGACCCCGTCTCAAATACAGTTTTTCTGAGGACCCAGAGGCTTCTGTTATGTGTCTAGAAGTCAAGCTGGGGGCCCAGCTGAATGTTGTGAGTCTCCAGGGTCATGTCCTATGCTGATCAGACCATATTGCTCCCAGCTGTGTAGCGGTTTGTATTGACATTCTGTGTGTGCATGCTAAGGCTTTAAGAATGTCTTAAGGAGTAGATCAGCTAAGGGGAGGGGGAGGGAAGGTGTGCAGGCCTGGACTTGTGGTGTGAGGACAGTGTGCGCTATGGAAGGAGGCAGAGGGAACAGCATGGTGTGCAGCACACATACAAAGCACCTGGAGACCAGTGGAGCTAGAGAAACACTCATAGGTCTGTGGACAACATCGGGGCGGGAGACGGTGGATGGTCCATCTCAGAAGGACAGAGAGGTCATAGGCTGTGTGGGAGCCAGGGCAGGGATCCAGACACAGAAACCCAATGTTTCTAACTCTTGTCCTTCCTCTCCTTTCCTGAGGATTGCCCTTGTCTGACTTCTGCAGTGCTGGGTATCGAACCCAGGGCCTTGCGAGCACTAGGCAAGTATTCTACGACTGTGTTACACTGTGGCCTCTGGCAGGGAGTCTTTGATCTCTCTTCATTCCCAGAGCAGCCATGTTTCAAAGGAGTAGCACAGAGAACTCTGCCTAAACTCCAATCATTAAGTCACTTGCCTTGAGTCACTGAACTAACTCTTCTAGTCCTGTGCCCTCACCCCACACATTGATCTGAGGACGCAGCAGAGAAAGCCATCCTCGTGTAGGGATTTATGTACCTACCAATGGAACCAATAACTTTAGAGTCTATGGTCTACCCTCTCCTCCTGGGGCCACTCTTGGTGCTTCTCCTACAAATATGCCCTCCTGGGGACTCTATGTCACCATTCCATGCTATCCTCAGGTTTCTGAATTCAGTCTCAAGGTGAGCTTTCCTCTCTGACACAGGCTTGACGCCTGGATGCCTGTCTTCCTAGGAGGGTTCCCTGAGTCCTAGGCTTAGTGTCCACTTCACGATGCTCACTTTAGACAGCAGTGACCCAGCTCCACGGGACATGGCGCTCGTTTGCATCTGACAGACCTGTCCACCTGAGGCTCCAAATCCTGTTTCCAGAATTCAGTTTACCATGCGTCAACCTAAGCTCCATTCCTGGAACCTGTGTGGAGGTGGACAGAGAAGTGACTCCGTGAAGTTGTCCCGACTTCCACGTGATAAAAGAACAATGTATCAGTTGAAGAGATAAGCAGATATCCACGTGGATGCACACATAAAATCAAGTCAGGAGTGGTAATCACACCACCCAGGGGTCAGATCACCACAGGTGTGAGGCCAGCCTGGGTTATACAGTTTCTGGCCAGCCAGGAAGAGAGAGTTGAGAGACCCTACTCAAAATGTAAAACAAACAGAAAAGAACCCAGAACAAGATGAATCATATAATCTATGTTCATTTAGTGTATGCAACTGATGTCAGCATGGTTGGTTGGAGGTTAAGCTAGCCTCTGCCTAGGGTTCCAGGAAGGGAGGGCACGTGACATCCTTGGAACAGAGCAGGGTCCAGTGTTTGTCTGAACTTCAACACTCTTGACTTGAAGGGGACGGTTGCTGAAAGGTGTATGGCATAGGCTTGAGTACGCACTACACACCCCTCTCTAGTCCATTTCCAAGGCTTCTTTGGGCCAGCCTGGGGCAAGAGAAATTCAGAGCATAAATGTTACAAGCTACTGAACTGGGCCTGTGTGACGCTTCAACTTCACTGCCAAATTGACAGAATTGTCACTTAGGAGAGACACTTCTGAGGACGTATGTGAGGGAGTTTCCAAAGAGGCGGAGCTCTGAATGGCACGTCCTGTGGGCTGGGGCTTAAATTAAAAGGAAAAAGAGGAAGCCAACTGAGGACCAGCATCCATGTCTCTCTGCAATGTGACTGGGACCACATATTCCTGTCCCCATGCCTTCCCCACCATGACAAGCTGCACCTTCAAACTGTGAGCCCAAATCAATCGGCCCTTAAGTCAATTTTGTCTGTCAATGAGAAAAGTAGCCAATACAACCAACACCAACATCTCTAATGAGCACTGCCTAGGGAGCCTGAGGACACCTAAGCTTGATGGGGTAGAGGGCCCTAGGCGCCTTAACATCTTATAGCATCATGACATAAGAGAAACCATGGAAGGACTTTGATAAGGAATGGGACCATCCTGAGGTATCCTTTTGGTGACACTGGCAGGTTGCCCCCAGTGAGGAGAGATGCCGCTCGTTCATTTTTGTCTCATTCACTGAGATAGCTGACAACTAACCCTATAATATAGTCCCAAGGAATGAGGAAGCCATCTTGGATTTCTCACCCCCTTCCTTTTCCCAGGGCCGTTTCTATTCTGGGACCTCTCTAAGCCTGACAAGCTGTCAGAAGGCACCCACGTCACTTCCTGGCTGGTCTAGGGTCCCACCCACAGCAGAGGTTGTCCAGTTTGTCCCAGGATCCTCTTGCATCTAGACCAGGCTTTCTTTGACAGATAGAATATTGATCAGTGTACTGAGGAGCCCGGAGTGTGTTCCTATTTTTCTGTCAGAACTTGGTAATGAACTGCATTTATCAAGCCCGTTCTCCATGAGAAAGGTCAGCTGCAGATCTGGCTAAGCTGTCCGACACCTCATTAATCTGGCTCCCTCAGTAACTGTCCCTCTTTGGAGATTCCAAAGTGTCCCCATTCTGGCTTTGCTCCCTCCATGTCGAGGGAGATGATCACAGCAGGAGCACAGACTTAGCTGCACTTAATATTTTGAGCAGAGGGAGCTAGGAAGCAGGAGTTGCCTCCAGAGCTAAGCGTCCACCAAAGGGACACCTGCTATTGCAAAACACAGGGATACAGGGGTGGAACTGGGGATATCCTGTCAGCCACGTGGCCTCTGGCAGACTGTGCCTCCAAAGGAATTGTCTCCATTCTTGGCTGTGGGTGGGGTTGGAGGACTCCAGAGGGTCAAGGGGAGGACAACATGGAGCAAAATGAGTGATACAGACGGGCATTGAGAAGCCCATGCTCTCAGAGTGCCTGCATGGAAATGGTGAGTGCGTGCGTGCGTGCGTGCGTGTGAATGTGTGCATGTGTGTCTTGCTGCTTCCTCCTTCCTCATTGAGGCTGTTTACCCCCAGGCCTTTAATGAGCCCTCTCCCGCCTCCTTCTCCACCACGTGTTTGCCCCACTTCCTCCTCCTCACCCTTCCATCAGTCCTTACCCGCTCTGCTAAGTAGCAGGCACTCGTAAGTTCCCTGCTGGCCTGGTTTGCAGCGTCAAGCCCAGCCCCTGGCCTGTCACCTGAACCTGGGGGTTAGGGCTTAAACAGCTGTTAACAATGCCACTACCTCCACAGAGAAGGGAGGCAGAGGGGCTTGGGTAGTATCACAATGCTGGGGGAGGGGTGGACACCTGAAGGTGATGGCACCGGTCCTCTATCATGCCTCTGAGTGCAATGTAGGTGCAGGGGGATAACTCCTGAGTGTGGGCACGTGGCTTTGCTCATGGACAGTCAAAGTTTCTTGGGATGGCCAGGGTCTATGGGTCTTACATCACCCAGTGGATGCTCCTAAGCCTGCACAGCTGGTCCTACAGGGTGAACTCCAGCATGGCCATCCTGGGAGTGGGGGCAGGGTGGCCAGTCACAGGGAGCATGAACACTAGGTTATATAGAAGGGTCTCTTCTGGTGGGCACAAGGTGGCTCCCTGAAAATGAACTGGGAGAGGAAGCAGAAAAAAATTTCTTCTCTCTTCTCTCCAGTGTGGCCAAGAGGAGAACGTTAAAGAAGGCCTGAGGGTGCATTCAGCTATGAATAGTGTTAGGAAACGCCCCTTCCCTTACTTGGACTCTGCCCAGTAAATGTGCAGAAAAGTAGTCCAGAGACCCTCTGGGCCTGGGCAGAGCACGGTACCCAGGCAGGACGTGAGGGTGCAGTGGCTTGGGAAACCCCAAGGTTGCTCTAAAGACCCCAGGCCTGAGGCTGGAGCTGGACACAGATGTCTGTCTTGAGGTCACTGGTCAGCCCTGGACTCAGGCAACCTCTACCACTGTCCTGCAGAGAGGACCAGGACTCGGACCGCCCAGTGTCATCTCTTGGTAGCTTTTCTCTCTGGGACCTGAGTGAGGAGCAGCTCATAAGCTGAAAGTGAATCGCCCTTCCGTAGATCTGAACACTTGGTTCCCAGTTGTCGACATTCTTTGGAAAGTTGTGGACCATTTAGGAGATGGTTCCTCAGAGGAGGAGGTGGGCCTTGGGGTTTATAGCCGACTTCCTGTCTACTCCCTGCTTCTGATTGGGGGATACTTGGTAACAGGACACCTTATGTTCTTGCTGAGATGGGCTGTGCCCTCAAACCGTGACCAAAATCAACTCTTTTCTCCCTCAGGTCACTTCCTGCCAGGTATTTCGTCACAGAAGGAGAAATGTAAGTAACATGGAGGGGAAGGGGAGAGGGAAGGGCTGGGTTAGGGACTATGGGCTCTGCTCAAGGAGCCACTGGGGGTTCATAGACCACTGCTTCAATACCCACACAGGGGCCACATGCACTGGAATACAGCTGCCTTTGGTCCTTCCAGGCTGTAACTAGAGTTTAGAGCCTTAGAACCACACCTGGCAACACCCCCAGAGGGCTTGAGGGACAGCACAGGACTCCATCCTTCTGTCTGCCCTTCGGTTTGCTCACAGGCAGTCTCCTCTCCCCTCCAAAATAGCTGTCCTGCCTCCCCCGTCCCCTGACTGTCACATTTTGCCCTGACAATTCTGTGTTTTTTACCACCAAAGCAGAAATTCTGTGTAATCGTCTGGCGCCCACATTCCCACCCAAGTGGTTGTGTTATCTATCCCAGCCTCGGTCGCCATGTGTCATTCTGAGGTCTATTTTGAAACCGCTAAGCTGTGCAAAGAGCAAGACGCATTTTGCTCCCAGATCTAATTCACGAGACACCGCGGCTGTGCTGGAATTTAGCTTAAGAGGAACAGATGTTTCACTTGATGTAAATTCATGCACATTAACAATCTTTCAGCTGCCATTTCTGGGAAAATTCAATTAACAATAAATGCCACAACCAATGGGCTTATCTTTTGGATACGTTTTCGCTAACGTGATACAGTTCCTCAGATGGTGTTGACGGAGCCACAGAATCCTAAGAATTCCAGAGAACGGTGAAACACACAAGACACAGGCCGCCTTACAGTCCCCAAACCTAACGAGACTGATGTTCCCAAAGTCATGCCACCTGGTGACCCAAAGCCGGGTCTTGGGGCTGCTAAGTGGACCAGTTACTATGACCTCTACTCCAGCATACAATGGAGTTGCCCATGCTTGTCCGTGGCCTCACCTGAAGCCACTTATATCTCCAGCCTCTTTTTATAATCTGTGCTCAGTCCTACTGCCTATGAAAGCGATTCAAGCTGACGCCCCTCTAGAGAGCCTGGAAGGGGCATCCAAAGGGATTAAGTGAGAAAGGGAATCCAGGCTACACCAGAGTCTAGGCACCTTGCCCTAGGGGATTGGGAAAGGGAGGAAGAAGAGGGAGAGAGGGAGAGAGAGACGGGGGGGGGGGGGGGGAGGAAGGGAGGGAGGGAAGGAGGGAGGGAGGGAGAGAGAGAAAGAGAGAACATGAAACATATCTTCTAATGTGCTAGCCTAGCCCTCCACCTAGGAGTAGGAACAGGAAAGCATGGCCACAGGATGAAGTTCGTCTTGTATCATGGATCTGCCAGCTGTCACAGTCATGACTAGATTTGTAGCTGAAAGGATTGGTTCTTGCAAAGGTCACCTGCTGGCATTTGGCCAGGCCATATCTTGGACCAGGTGTTTGGCAGGCTGGCATCCTGCCAGCCAGTGGTTGCTAAGGAGAACTAAATGGTTGAATGGTAGCATCTTCTTAGATGTCACAGGGATCTCCAGGATGCAGCCGCTCATCTTCCCAGAACTCAGTGGGAGTGGGATCAGGCTAGGAAGCTGTCCCTGGCTAGTCTCCACCTGGTCTTTTCCTGGGGTGGTGATGGGGGTGCCCATTTGTCATTTCAGTTGATGGTGAACTTTCTAGGTTGAAAGCACAAAGTCTGTTTGGGGACCACGAAGAGAATCTGCATATCTAGGGCTTTGCACGATCTGCAATGCATAACACACACACACAGACAAACACGCAAGCATGCACGCACATTCGTGTGCCCGCATGTGCATGAGCAGATCTCACACTTGAATTCCCAAATTCACTGGACTGGGACTAGCCAAACCCACACCCACACCTCATGTGGACAAAACATTTCAGGCCTCACCCCAGAACCTGGCGAGTTAAATGATGCAGAGCTACGAAGACCTTTGTTAGGTAAGTGCTACACTGGCTCACGAATGCGGGGTTCAGTTGGTGTTGCCACACAATCTGCTACTTGACATTTACAGCCCTCACTTTTATTCCTATTAAAGAAAGCAAAATTGGCTAGATTCCTGGGAGAGGGATCACTGACGCTTTTTATGGCTGACTGGAACATCCATCAGGTGCCCCAGAGTGAAGGAATAATGTTTGGGAATTTGTATAAACGCGAAAGCCCTCTTGGTATTAAGAACTTCACTTTTTACTGCTGTGTTAGTTGAGCCCCCACCTCCGCCATCCACTCATCCTAAGAAATCAGTTACTTTGGGGATGTGGGCACTAGCTCTTCACAGACTCAGGGAGGGGCTTGTCTCAGTGGTCTTTCTAGAAGCACAGCCGCTGGCCACTCCCAGCCTCACCCATCTGCACTTGGAAGCAGCAGGAGAGCTGGGGTCAGGGAACAGCTTGATGGGGAAGTTGGAGGGAATGAATGAGGTGAGAAGCTTCCTTGCAAGACTGACCCGCCCCCCTGCCTCCCCACTGGACATCTGGCCAGGGAAAGAGTAGGGCTGTTGGGGTGGGACTATCTTGACTCCCCAGGTGTCAACCATAGCAAAAATGCTCTTTCTCGACACTTAAAGCTGCCATAGTCGTCAAGTATCGACCAGATTAACAGATAGAGTACATACATCTCTGGAAGCAGCCGAGGCTGGGGCTGTCCCTCCCTTAGGTAGTGGCTGAGACAAGAGCTACCAGGCTCAAGGGTAGAGTTCAGTTTCCGAACCAGACAGAGCAGGAGCACTTTATTCTCATGTGAGTTGAAGGATGCGTCAGGAGGGCATGCACTGTTCTTATCAAGAGTTCCTGGGAGACAGCACGCAGCTCTGTGCGTGCGTGCATGTGTGTGTGTGCTTTTTATTGCCGCAATGATGTGAAGGAAGTCATGGCAGCTTCATCCCACTCAACCAGCCTTTGGTGGCCAGCCAGGAATCTCATTTGAGGTTTTGAAGACCCTAGTCATGGAAGTAAAAGACTGGCCGTGTGAGAAGACAGAGCAGGCCAGAGTGCCAGATGGTGTCTCACTGCTTGGCACTGCCTGGGGGATTATCTCAGGGCTTCTTGCTTACACACAGCAATTGTCAGCCTCTCGGTTGAGCCAAAAAGCCACTAGATTGTAAGGATCGCGGGCAGAGCCTCCTCTTTGTGGTGAGGGGCATGTATTGATGCCAGGGAGGAGCTACGCTCAAAATACGAACGCTCTGGGCGTTTTGCTGGTAGGAACTCCACGGAGCTGGAGAAGCTGCCTCCCGATGGTCTGTAGAGACCAGTCCTGCCCTAGCCTGAGCTCCCAGGAAAACAGCATTTCAGAGAGCAAGCTGAACAGGTTTAGACTTGACAGGATTTGGGGATTTCCTGGGGTTTCGAGCTTGCTCTTTACTTCCCTGTGTTCGGAGATTGATAGTAAATCCCAGGTCAAAACCAAACAAAGCTGCTGGGAACTCTGAGCCAGATCAGAAGGGCTATAGGTAGAACCTGGGTATACGTGAAGTACTGGGGCTATAGGATGCAGGGGAGATGGCTTCTCTCCTACAGGCTGCCTACTGGGCGCTGTTCAGTCTGGGAACTTCCAGAATGCAGCAGCTTATGGAGGAGCTGTCAAAAACCTCATCTTTGTGGGTGTCACACCCAGGTGGCACATTTGGGGTTTTTATCCCCAAGCTTCTAAGCAGGTCACAGACATCCGAGAGCAGGGCCTGGACATGCGCAGTGAGCGGTCTGTGAGGGAAGTAGGCAGGATGGATGGGAGAGGACCCTGGGTGCTCTCCTCTGAGTTCCCACAAAGCATCTTGCCCAACCAGCTGAGTTATTCTGGTCACATCTCAGCCTGGCTGGCTGCGTGGTGTTTGTGGTGTGCCCTCTGAAACGCCACGGACGCGGCAGCGGGATGGGGGTGTGAGGATAGGCCGGCTCTTGCTACATTCCCGCACCAAGAAATCCCTTTGGCCCTCTCTGCCTTCCATATTCATAAGTTCTCCAAGCCCCAGAACGGCCTCCTAGCTGCCTTAGGCAAGCATGGAAATGGATTCAGAAGCTTTGAAAGGGCTCAGGGTTCAAGGAGACGATGGAAGCAAGAGGGCTGTGCCTGAATTCCCCGAGGAAGTAGGAACACATCTGGAAGCGTGCCAGGACCTGGAGAAGTGGGAGCAGCGGCATGCAGCCTGAGGCAAGCGAGTACCCTGCCTACCTGTGCCCTGTGTCTGTAGCGCAGCCTCTGTGTACCATGGACACACACCTGTTGCCTCAGGACAGGCGCGTCTACATTCTTTGGGGTCAGACTTTGAGAATGTAGTTAGACAAAGATATCTCACAAAGTTTTGATGTAGAAATACACTGTGCTGCTCCCCCACCTCCGTGTGTGTGTGTGCGCACTTGCGTCTGTATACACTTGCATGTCAGGAATTTCTCAGAAATCCCATCTGATAATGCTATTGGCTCCTAAACCAAGAGCCAGCAGTGAAAAAGTCAATCACTTCCTGACCTTGAGTTTTGTTTCCCTCATCAACAGTGCTCTAAGGAGAATAATGTCCTTCCTGGTGGGACTTTCAGGAGGAAAGTGTGACCCACAACCTAGGGGTCAGTGTAGAGAAAACAGTGGGGACACCTCACACTCAAAGGGTTTGATTTACCCTCCTGCTGGCAGTGGGAGGCATCACCCCCTCTATCTCTGCTTCCCACACACAGAGCTGTGGATTTGGGCTTGTATTCCAGAGACGATGGCCCTATGCCAGCAGCTTAGTCGCAGCCCCGTCCCCCTCCTGGCTTGCCTGTTAGCCAGTCCACCATGGCTTCCAGGCCACAGAACACAAGAGCAGGTAAAGGTTTTGGAATGATGTAGCTAACTCCTTATTTACAGATTAGGAAAGAGACCCAGAAGACAGAGGCCCAGCCTAAGGGTCAAGGCTCCGGTGACAGAGACACAACACGGCCTGCCATTTGTTGTGGCACATTCTTGGGGGCATTTTCTTCTCAGTGACACCTTCCTTCTGCTCTAATTTCAGCCATCCAGATCTTGCACAGACCC